ATCTTTAGCTCTGGCGAAGCGCTCGCCTCCAGCCATTCACTTCTGGTCGGGTGGCTCCGTCAACAAAGCACGGGCACGTCAGGCTTTGGAAAGTAGCCATGGAAAAGCACAGAGCTTGGCTCTTGCTATGAGCCACGGTCACGGGATAATACCTGATGACAACCTCCTTGAAATGTCAGCACTTATGGTGGAATGGGGCTTTTTATGAGGCAGCCACCTGTTCCCATTGCATTACCTCATTGCTACTCGTATCAACTACTGTATCCCCAGCTGTAAAGTAGTTTTAATTAAAATGATGTATTGCTCCATACCGATTTGTCTCCTATTTTGGGTGTATCTTAGAAGGTAATATTTTTTTCCTTATCACTTCATCACTGGGTTTACACTTTAAGGGACTACACCCACTGATGTTGCTGGGATCAGAATAGAGTATGTGGATTTTAACTTTGTGTGATATATTTATTTATACCTCTGACAACTGAACGAGGAGTGCCCTGGCTCCAAGCCATATCTCTCAGTAATCGAGGGTTTTTTTTCAGATCTTTGGGAAGTGGCTCCTCCAATGTATTGTGTGTGTTCTCTTGACATCTTAATGCAGTTTCTAGGTCACTGAGCTAAGAAAGGAGTATAGATGCCATTAAAGTTAAAGTAGAACCATGTCTCCTTGAAGGAGAACCAGACACAGGCTGGGCCAGGCTGATGGTACTTAGGGAAATCAATTATTGTCATGTACTGTCTTCATGCTGTGCCAGATCATTTAGAGATGAGGAGATGATGTTAGCTTTCACTCTATCTGCAGGAGCTGCCGTGCTCCTGCTTTCAGGCCACCTGTGATGAACAGAGGACGTTGCTTATTGATCTATCAGTTACTGCAAATCAGTGCTGGAAAGCCAGAGGGGCTCTGCATTGGGTCTGGGCTGTCGTCAGGGGAGCAGGTCGTAGCGTTGACTTCATAAGGGTTGAAGGGTGAAAGCAGGACAAGGGAGTGAAGATATCTGGATGCGCAGGTGGGGCTTGGTCTTGACTTTGTTGCCCTGGAGAAACTGATTCACTTTCCCTGTGAAGGTATTTGTCTGGAGCAAGGTGCCGTAGAGGGCCTGTGGTGCCAGGGCTCCAGCCTGAGCAGCAGATCTCCCCAGTGCCACCACTGGAGCCGGCTGCACCCAAGAGCTGAGCAGGCGGGAGAGTTGCGGGGCTTTCCTGGTTGTGCTGCTGTGTCCGTACAGGAAAGGAAATCTCTGAATCAACCCTAGAAGTGTGCTTCTGCAAACTAATCCACAAGGATTAAGAGGTGTTTGAAGGGCTCCTTTCCTTAACATGCTGCAAGTCCCCTAAAGGGATGGTGCAGAGTCAGGGCTGGTGGAGCTTCTGGAAGCCCCAGGCCCTCACTCCCCTCTGCCCTGTGATGAGCAGAAGTCCATGGGCTGGGTGGAAGGATGAGGAACTGAGCTCTGGCCAAGCAAAACATGCAGAAAACACTCTCTGAAATTCCTCTTCCTGCCCTCCTGTCCCTCTGTTCACGGTTCACCTCTGCAGCCTGCCTGTCAAAAAGCAGTGCTGCTGCCAGCAGGAGAGGTTTGTGTCGTTCTCTGGGGAAAGGGAGTGGAGCCTGGGCTATTCCACCTGCAAAAATGAATACTTTTCCTTTCCGCCAAGAGATTAAGTTGAACACTTGGCACCTGCCAGATTGAGCAGAGCAACAGCTGGTGGTGGATGTGTCACTTGCTCATCTTCAGAGGAGGGCCTCTGGGACAGGGGAGCCATCCCGCCGAGGTGCTGCAGGTGCCCGTGCTGGGGACAGCATGGCACTCCGCTCCCCTCCAGGACACAGTCACCTTGCCAGAGTGGCAGGCTGGCAGCACACACACAGCTCCTCTCTGATGCCCAGAAATAATCCTTGGGAGCTGAGCCTGAACCTCACGGGCCGTCGTCACCCCACACTCTGCCTCCCACCCACTGCCCCAAGGCACCATCCCGCAAGAGCTGCGTGAGCAGGAGGCGGCTGCTCTGCGGGCACCGGTGTGGACACAGGCATGTGGCTGGGGATGGGCAGTTTGGCTGGCTGGCAGCCATGGAGAGGTCGAAGGGAGGTGGGTTGCGGGATGGCAGGCAGCTGTCTGCATCACAGGGAGGCTTGGCAGGTGGCCTGCCCCCGCCAGG